TCTTTTTCAATGAAACCAGATTGTTCTTTAATTGTGATGTTATGCTCTTCTGAGTGCTAGAGTATTCTTTGTAGAATGACTAATTCCACAGCCTTACTCAGGGAAGATAATAGGTTGATGGGCTTGTAGGATGCTGGATCCGTAGGTGGCTTGCCAGGCCTCATAACAGCACAGACGACTGCAGTTTTCCATGAAGTAGGATAATGTCCAAGACTGAGCATCGTGTTGATAATATTGACGAGTTTCAGTAGCATGAGAATTCCCTGGACTTTTCTTGGTGTGCAACTTCTTGATATAACCGTAGACCTCTGACGGCTTGACAAGACGAATGTTGTTTGCGTGTGGGTTTGTAAGGAATTTTGTTAGTGTCTAGATGTCCATGTGTTCTATGGATGGGTTGGATATGTTGTTTGTGCGAAACTGAGCAGCATAGTGATCGGTTAACGATTCACTTTTGTCAGTTTCAGTGTAGGCGATTCCTTGAGGGACAGTTAAAGGTGGAATATTATTGTAGCCATATAGTCAGAGATGGGATCTTTAGTAATTGAAAAGAATTTTAGCAATGGTTGCAAAAATACCCTGAAAATTGAATTTATGGAGAATCCGAGCAATTTTATGACTGACAGAGATATGAAAGTTCTAACAACTAAATTGTTAGGATTATTTTTAATAGCCGAAGATCTTTTATAATGGCAAGAGGAACATTTGGAAAAGCTTCGTCTCTGTCCGTGGCAGAAAATCTTCTCTCAGTGGATTGTTTCTCTGATATCAAGTATTCTGAAAAACAAATTTTGGGAGCTCGATACATGTAATAGTAAGAAGGGTATATTTTCCAGTTGGCAGAAGGACATGATTCTATATGAAGAGACAAACAGAAAAAGATTTACGGTGAACAACTTCAGTTCTGGACTAAGAATATGGAATAAATCGATATATGAAACATTAGTAGTCGAACTGGCAATTTGCGGCACCTGAAAATGAAATCTGTCTCACTTCTACCACCTTTTTTTTCTTCCTTTTTGTCTTTTAGCTTTATTATTAACCATAATTTCCTTCACAATTCCGTATACAATTCAACAGCAAAATTGCAAAACTTTTAAAAGCAGTTTAGCAGTATACGTTTAGACTTCCCGATGCAGCGTTAAGTGTTGGAATACAATTTTTTGTTTTTTCAGTCTTTTCTCAGTTCATGATATCAGTGAGTTTTCTTACTAAGATGGCTTTACGAAACTTTTTTTTTGTCTTTTTATTATTAACGTTTTGTGTGTTTACTTTATTTACTAAATATCGCGTTCTTGGGGCTTAAAATTCGATTCAACGGCAAAATTACAAAATATTTAAAAACAGCATATCTTTAGAGTTTCCGATAGACAGTTTCGCGCGCTGGAGATAGAAATGTTTTATTCAGTACAATATTGCCACTGCTTGCTTTGGAATCGTTGAGTTTGTTAATCAGAAATTCGGTTAAATTTTACAAGATATGAAATATATTATAAAACAAATTCGAAATTCAAATTTCGGGCTTACAAGTGCCCATGTTCGACTGGAGGATTACGTTTTTCAAAATTGGAAGGCTCTAGATACCGTCGTGTTTTCACAGTGCAAGAAAGATACATACAATCATGCAGATTCTTCATTATTTAATTTCTTTAAATGTATTACAGGGCGATAATATTTAGTGGCAACAATCTGAAAAGTGCTATACCGTTTATAGTGATCCAACAGAGAATGCCCTTCGCTTTTGAAGGAGGATGGTGTTTGTGAGTACAGGAACTTCGAATTTTAACTCATATTTTGGTTTCAGTTATTATTCGAAAGCCCTTCTGCTATGTTATATCAGTTACTGTTCGAAGTTTCCTATCTTCAATGAGAATTGACAGGCAGAATAATTGAGCCAGGGGTACCTTAAATACTATATCCACTTATTTTTTAAAAAACGTTGCTTATGATGAACAGCACTTAAAATGAAATAAAGTTCTTATTTCTTTCAGATGGACTCACTACATGGTGCTGCATTATAAGAAATGCTTAGAGAGTGAAATTATTCCTAAGCTATTAGAGTTTCTTAATTCTCTGGTGGATTGTGTAATGTTTCTGCTTAAATTCGTACGATTAGTTTCTTTGAAGCTGTCTAGAATAAAGAGTGATTTTTCTTTAGAAGATAAAAGTTTATTTCGCATCTTATTTTTTAAAGTTTCGCCGAAAAATTTCGCTTTTGAAGAATACTGTCTTTGATGTTTGTGTTTGTGTGGCGGAACTGACGTTATGTGATACGTATCTTAATTTTTTTTAAACTGTGGATGCATGTCTTGTGCTTCCGGTTGTTAGGATTTGTCCCCGAGTAAAGTGAGATGTATACAGTCGGTTTTGTTGCTTATTTAGGTGTCATCTGTCACAAGGCGCGTATTGAGAAATAAATTTCGGAAAAAGTGAATATCATTTTACTGTGCTTTAAAGCGGTTTTTCTTTCTTAATATCCGTCAGTTTTGATTCTCCTTTTTTTTTTTTTTTTTTTTTTTTTTTTTTTTTATTTTTTTAAAACATTTTTGCACGAATTTTCATTGAGAGAAACATTTATTCTCAGGCATTTGATATTTATTTGTCATTTTGATTTTTAATTATCTCATGTACAACGCGTTGATAATAATTATTATTCTGTTGTGATGTATCAGTCTTTATTGTTTCTGTGATAATAAATGACGTTGTGTATCATTTTATTCTTTTCTTGTCTTCCTTTTTGACTTTTTACTGACAGAAGTTTTACTGACATTTCTGCTTATTGTTTTCATTTCGAGGATTTGGTATCCTGCAAAAATAGAAAATATTGCCACTTTACACGGGAGCTACTTGCGAACTTTATGCGCAAACAGTCCATTAAAAATGTATAGCTACATTTTGAATAATTTAGGCCTTTATTTTATTACATTTAAAAAATAAAATAAAGGCCTCACCAGTGGCTGAGTGTTAAGACCACTAAAAATATTTGCAGTTCGAATGGGTTCGATCCCAGGCGAACTCCTAGTATTGATCCCGATCCCAGGCTGGCTGCATGGTTGGTTTTCTTAGTTTTTCTCAGTATGTAATACCAGCCAGTATCCCTTAGAAAAACATTTACGAAGGAATCCCTTCTCGTAGGCAGACAGCACTAGTGTAGCCTTTGTCGTATTCAAATAAGCTTACCTAACCTTTATTAAATAGGTGCTAAGGTTCGAAAGTGATTTAAATTTACGATCGAAACGTATTACGGTAAGAACTTCTTTCACCACTATCTGGTAATGCTGATTTAGACAATTCGCTTTAAATATAGTCAGTAAGACAACCACTCACGATTCCAGAAGTTTTTGGTCTTTTCTAGATGCGATCATCTTAGAGAAGATAACTATAAGCGACCTCAATTTGCAAAATATATTCAGTCATTCAAAGCACATTAAAGTACTGAAGTAGAAATACGATATATATAATTTTTATGGCTTTTGCATTCTTATAGATTTCCTTTCCGCTTTGCATGGAATTTTTCTTGAGAATTATTATATTCATTCCTTGTTTTATTATTAATTTTTAAGAATAATTTCAGACTTTATGATTTTTATACTTCCGGGTTTTGGGAATACACCTCGAATTATTATTACACAATTTTTTATTGCAGATAGAGATATTATTTTTCTCCTTATTTCAATTCCGAAAATCATCGCGGACGAAAACGTCGCGGAGAAAACAACACAAGGCGATAACATTGTCGTACAAAATATCGTGGGAAAACAGAAAGCAAAGAGAAATTTAAAACATTCATTGCAGTTCTAAAGCCATCGTGGTACAAAAAATCGTCGTCGAAAATAAAGCGGTTCAAATATCTTCGCAGTTGAAAAACACGGTCGTCGAAAATATCATGGTAAAAAAAAAAAAAAAAAAAAAAAAATGCAGCTATATACAAATCATTGCATGATGATAAAATCGCAGGCATGTATTTTTCAGGCTTTAAAATCTGTAAATGCATATTCGCATAACGATTTGTAAACTCAAGAAGGAAAGAGAATTATGTTTACTTTTATATTTCATATTTTGAACTAACTAATAAGTTTTTGCTGAAAAAGTAGGCAGGAAACTCAAGCATTGAAAATTGAGTAATTACTGAAATTATGAATATTATTTAGTTGACATCTTTCGAAGTAACTAACAATTGGAAACGATTGATTAACTGTATGTTGTACATGAAAATGTTAATGACACTTTAAGAAGACGAATAAACTGAAATGAAACAAGTATCTCTTAAAATAGCAACTTCACCAGACTATATGAATGGTAAATATTCTGGTAGCGTAACATAATGACCTCAAAACTAGAGAGACATTTCTGGCATCTTAATATCAAAATAATAGGGAGGGAATGATAAAACTGTTTAAAGCAAGTAAATTTTAAATAATTTACTTTCTTTAATCAGCGTTATTTAGTTTAATTAATTTGTTTATCTAGAAGCAGTTTTGAACTGATGAATACCTTTTAACATTTTGACATTGTTAAATATCTTTCTTATCGTTTTAGTTTAGTGAACTCTGTCATAGCGAGATGAATAAAATATTCTTTGTTAATTTATTTTATGACTAGTTTAAAATATTTAATAATTAGGGCTATTATCCGATACATGCATGTGAACTTTTTGATACGTACTGTTATTAAACATTGCTTGTTAAAGATTAATACTCAGGTGTTTTTCTAGCAAATTTTCAGTTACTTTGTGTATAACTTTTCGCATCTGTATTCACATGTTCGCATCGTTGCTGTAAAATATCCGTCTCTAAGCAACAAGTGAAGTGCTGTTTAAATCCACGTTCTTGCTTCATTGTCATTGTGCCTTCCCGTTACCCTTGCCGCAGCACAACGCTTCTGAAAGTTATCCAAGAGTTACTGTGACATTGGGTAACTTGTTTGTACGTTTTGCGGGGGCTTAGAAGTGGGAAAAATCTGGTAGATAGCGAATGTTTTCTCCTCGATTATCGGCAGATAACGAATATCTTGGATGTTTATTACGTGCTCTTGGATTTATTACGTGCACTGTTTCTGGTGATACTGAAGTGTGCTCTCCTATAATGAGGATCGGTAGATACTTTCTGCCTTCGCACGCATGTCATTGAAAGCATGAAATTTTAATGTGTGTGTATTCTACGACTTTCTCGCGGCTCTTTCCAAGTTTCAGTTTAATAGGAGAGTATTTACTTTACTTATACTGATATTGCAGCTTTCTTAAAACAACCCAAATAATTATTCTATGTTTTTCATAGAATGTTTCCATTCTATCTTTTCTATAGAATTCTGTGTTTGCTTTTAGGCTAGATTTATTTCTGATGTCAAGAATGCAGTTCTACAATGAAATTAGTTGCTTAAAAATGTTATGGATATAAAGGCTTGACCACCTTACGATATATGAGAAATCAGTACTAATATTGCAACAGTGTAATTTTCATCAACGATTTGTATTTTGTTTAAGCAGCCTTTATTAAAATTGCAGAAAGGGATTTTTATTTATTCTTTGGATTCTATTCTGTTTAAGATTGCCGCACTGGGCCTTTTTATTCATTATTTAAGTTTTATTTTGTGAGCAATTGTTAGTGATTAATACTTGCCGTGATTTTTATTAACTCTTTGGATTCTACTGTGTAACTAATTACTTCTAAAACTGCAGCAAAGGGATTTATTTATATATATTGTTTAAATTCTATTTCGTAAGCAACTGTTATTGATTTAACTCAAATTGAAGCAGAGAGATTCCTTATTTGGATTCTAATTTGTAAGTGTAAGTTATTATTATTCACGCTGCAGCAAAAGTATTTTTAATTACTGTTTTGATTATATTTTATAAGCAATTATTACTGATTGTTACTCAGATTGTGCCAAAATTTATTTGTTTTGTAGACGACATTTAAGACTGGCACCTCTTTGAGAATTTAACCCTTTAGTCTTTTTAGACTTCTGCAGGTGAGTGAGTCCGTAACCAGTTATAAAGATTTTGTTTAATTTGTTAATAAATAATGATATGAGGCTGAATCTGTGAAATATTAAAGATTTATTATTTAAGGTATTTATGTATGTCTTCTTTAATATTGAATGAATACCATTTCGTCATTTGCAAAAGTATGCTCTAGCAAAGTTTTTTTTTTCTTTTGCATATAATACACTACTTTTAGCATATTGACATCTTTCGATTTTTTTTAACTCGAAAAGTATAACGAAATGCATAAATAATATCAGAATAGTTTTAAATATTTTGATTATAAGGAAATTAATATTTCACATTGATGGAGTGAATTTTGATGGATGCTGCTGATTAAATTTTGACTGTCAGAGCAGCAATAGCAATTTTAGTAGACTGCAATTTCGTTGAATGGAGATTTGATTAAATTCGGATTATTAATTTGAATTCATTTAATCTCCAAATACTTCTGGTTAAAGAAGTCTTCCCCTTATTCTAATCGCATAACTATTCGTTAATAAGGCTTCGATCATTATTTATGCTTAGAACTAACTTTTTTAGTTGCAATCGTTTGAAACTGTATGAACGATTTTAATGCATTGGGGTTGGATAGTTAATAAATAGCAAAAGAAATAGGCAAGCGGTAGTTTTTAGCATATCTCCAACATCAGCCATCCTCAGAAAAATTTTACAAGCAAACTTTATTAGCAGCTAGTTCCACGGCACCAAGTGTCACTGTACTAAACAGAGTTATCTTTTGTTTTTTAATCTGCTGATTTCCCTTCCTGGGAAAGCAGCAAATTCATTTGTAATCGAAAGGGACATGAGTGCATAAAGAAAATGAAATACATTTAATGGTGGCAATTTTGCCATTGGTTAGAATTTTTGTAAGTGATTTATAAAATGCAGAACAGTTGCAAACTGAGTTCACTGAAAGACATGGTGAAGAAAAAACTTGCCATGTATCGCAAGGTGCCTGCGGGAGACACCAATCATGATATTCGTATAGTGCTGACTCCTCCCGAAGACGAAGTTTCTGATTGCGAGGCTGAAATTGACGAACCAGATCTCGCATCGCATTCACCGGAAGAGGAATCTAAATCAGTCATACGTATTGATGATCGAGAATTTGCGTCTCGTCTGTTGGCAGCTGTTGAAAATTATGTGGTAAGTTGGAAGTTCATATTTTCTTTACTTCCAAATTAAAAAAAAATTTTTTGAGTGTCAGATTTCGATTTTGATATATGTACACGATACATGACTGAAAAACAACTTGTTCGTAAGACATATTCATTGTGCATTTATTATCTCTTAATCTTAAATTAATTTTGAGGTTTTGTATATTTTTAGTAAAAGGTGTCACGTGACCAGAATTCAGTGGCGTAGCTAGGGTGGGGCAAGAAGGGGGGACATCTGTCCATGGGCGCAGCATGCAAGGGACGCCTAATTGATGCTGCGAAATTTTTTAATGAAATGTTTTCCATTCTTGGCACACAGGAAGTGGCGCAAATTTTTCAGTTGTCCCCGGGCGCTGGAAACTCTAGCTGCGCTGCTGCCAGAATTATCATAATTTGAAAGTTTCCTTACTGTACGCATTTCTTAAACTTAAAATCAACCGTTCAAGATATATTTATTTAATCGTGCTGTATTTTTTATAACCTCATTAAACTGATGAACGCACGACGTCCTGTCGTCAGTGACAATTTTTATCGATGATCAAACTCTATTCTTATGGCAACCAGTATACTATATATTATCAAAGATGATGATAATTAAACATCATTAAAGCAATTTATTGATTTGCGAACTTTTAATTACAGTATTTACGCTTCATACCGCTCAGACGCGATAGTTGTTAGTGATGCCACCGAAGACTTATTAATTTCGCCTTTCCGGAAAAGGTGAAATAGCTAATCATAGTTGAGAATTTAATCATAATTTTGACTTTTGCAAAAATTATCCAAAAAGCTTCTTCCATTGAATTAGATTTTCTTGAAGCTTTTCACATTCAGAAAGATTTAGCTTGTTTAGTTAATGCCTTTAAGTCTAATCCGGTCTTTCCTAACTCTTTTAAAGTTTAATAAACTTAAATTTTCAATTTACCTATTAATTTTGTCGACAGACGGCGCTATTTTCCTGTTCGTTTTGCTGCAGTAGGTTATAAATAGGGTCGTTACGCCCGCAGGCTTGCAAATTTCTTTGCTGCTGACGAAGAGGGACCTGTTTGCCCTCGAACTCGATTGAATTTTTTGTCGAAATCTACGTCTGTTTCTTTAATAAATTTAAATTTCTCAGTCTGTCGTCTTCCTTACGGATGACTTCATGCGGAGCCTTTTAAGTACGATTCAAACGACGGCTTGACGTCATTCTACGGCGCGCGCATGTATGCCTCAGTATGCACGCTCGACGTTTTGGACAGCTTCCTATGTAAACATATGCGAATACTGATGTTTCTAATAAGGGTTCTTCCCCTCCCCCAAGAGATATGAAATCATACTTTTGTTTCGCATTTATCTCAAAAACTATGGGTCGTACAGTTCCAATTCTTTGGGCGTTTATTAAGCGTGTCTGTTTCGAGTTTGGGTGGTCTTGATGGGCAGCCTGTAAAGAAATGCACGACGTCATCACGCTATTATCTTTTCCCCAAACAAGTTGAGACGAGATTTACTTTTATGAGAAATGCGCCACATCAGAAAGCGAAATGTGTTTTTAAAATTTTTAGCTATGGTCAGTAATTTTTATCTTTTAATTTTTAGTATCTATCGCATCAGATCCATGCAAAATTTGTTAATTTCTTTAACATATTATGTTTATGTTCGCCATGTAACATAAGAGTTGCTCATAATCTAAAATATAAGACGACTTATTTGCGGTAATGATCTTGTATTTTTTAATTAAGAATTTTGTTGGGAAAGTCAGTGCACACTTTAGTTAACTTTAATACGTTATTTAATCAGCTTACGGTATGCTTGATTTTAAATGCTTTTTAAAAACAGTAATTAACAAAGGGATCAATAGAAAGCAAGGAAGCAGTATTTGTATTTTGTCGCTGAGGTTCGAATGTCATTTAATGTTGTTGAAAATTTAGACTTTTTATGTACAAACATTGATTATAATAGTTTATTAAAATTTAAATGTCCCGAATTTAGCAATTTTGAAATTCGTTTTACAAAACTCCGAGTTCTGTTCCCAGAGTTTAAGGACTAAACCCATGAATTTTCATGTTTTTCGCCATGTGTGATGTGAATAAGAGCTAGTTTACCATGGAATTCTCCACAAAGGGTTTGTCTTAACGCGGTATCTTTTGAAAGCCAGACAGACATAAGTTACCCAAGATAATCTAACTAAATTAATGTTTATAAGTAATTTTTTTCTGTGTTAAAAGCCGAACATAGAACCGCATGTAAAGACATAACTGATTAGAATCTTGACATAATTATTATTGGGTTCTGTTTTCTGAAAGTGTTTATTAGAATAAATTATTCAAATTTTAAATATTTTTATATGTTATTAATGTATAAATTACTTAAATTTAGAAGATTAATGCATTGTATTTAAATATTTTTTAGAATTATCTAAAATATTTTGATATAGACTAAAAGGCATAGTGCAGTAATCCATTTGCATATTGTAGTAGATATTTTCTCTGAAATTTAACAAACGTGCGAAGACGTATGCATTTTTTATCGTAATTATATTTAAGGAGAAATTATCTGTTGTATATTCTCAGCATCGGTTTGGTTACCAGGCGGCCGAATTTTCTTCTTTCCTTTCGCTTTATTAAAAGTATGAAAGTGAAGATTAAATTACGGCTACCTTTCACACAGCTATCATAAGCAACTTTGGCACGAACCCTTGCTGTGAAAGTTGTTTTTTGCGACCGACAATAGCTCTACGTATCCCGGCTGGCGACTCTCTAAAAAAGAGGCGAATAGAATGCCATAGGGTGTTGTGTGTGTGTGTGTGTGTGTGTGTGTGTGTGGAGAATACCAAAGACGTCATTATTCAAGATGGCGACTACAATGCCTGTTACGTAACATATTTTATTTTTATATCTTTCTCCCTTTTTCTTTTGTATGTGTCGTAGTTTCTTCATTGATGGAGAGTGCAGTATTCCAGAAGACTTGTAGCTAAAGGAAAATATATTAGAGATATAAATTCCCAGAACCTACTAAAAAATGTATACCTATGTTTTCTTGAATTGCTTAAAGAGTTAACGTATTTACTTGTTAGTGTTATTGGGAGGTTAAATGATAATCAAAATCCATGTTCTTAACGGTTTTCTTTGTTTTGAGTCGTTATCAAGCAGATTTTAAGTTCCTGTTAATATTAGGAGTTATTTTTGCAGTATACAGTATACCGTATTTACTTGTGTATATTCCCCTGTAGCGTTTTAGCAATGGTTCTGACAAAGTTTTAAAAATTCATGTCATTTTCCCTTTCCTCAAGGTGTTCAGAAAGCAAGCTCTCCGAAATTATAAAGTAAAAGTCGTGTTCACATAGTGATTATTTTGGTTTTATTAATTGATTTTCTCATGGTTTTTTGGGAGCATGGGCTATGATTGACAGAGGAAGAAAAATGAAAAGCTTCAAGAAAACGAAGATATTTAACAATCCGAAGATGTACTGTCGCTGACGAAGACGATGGCGATGATTTTTAAGCTGTAGTAGATGGCGAAGGCAACATTTCCAGCAGCTATGATTTGAGACTTGAGTGCCAGTAGACATAAGAACCGTCGAGATTCAAGATACAGAGAAGTAGAAATGAAGATAATTTATTAGATATTGTAATGTTAACCGTTTGACTGCTACGCGGCGCAAAAGCACTGCGTTCATTTGTCTCGAAAACCGCGACGCACTGCGAGTTTCAGTGTGTCTTTGTTGCTTCGTGGGTGTGAACGTAGTCGGACCTCACGCGTACTTTGTAACACAAGTGCATTCTAAAATAACTAACTGCATCGCGGTTTTTGAGACAAATGAACGCAGCGCTTTTGCGCCGCGTAGCAGTCAAACGGTTAATGTTATAACGTATTTCTCCCGCAGCATGCCTTCGTGGTGTGGTGGTCTGCACGCTGGGCGCGTATTCCTGAGGTCCGTGGTTCGATTCCCGGCGAAAGCGTTGCTCATATTTCACTTCTCCTGCTCCCACCCCCAAAAACCTAATGTCTCTACATTGGCGCCCGAACTAAAAGGGTGGTGGATGACTATTCTGCACACCCAGGATTTGGCGACTGGGTCCCCTAAAACTCCAGTCGACCTTTAAAAGGGGGGAGTATATAAGGTATTTCTCCCGCCTTCTTAGCATGCCTTCGTGGTGGGTGATCTGTACGCTGGGCGCGTATTCCAGTGGTCCGTGGTTCGATTCCTGGCGAAGGCGTTACTTATTTTTCACTTCTCCTGCTTCTAAAAATATACCTAATGTCTTTAAAATATTACTGTGTGTTTTTGTTATAATGTAGGTTTTTTTTTAAATAAATAATATTGTGTTAGTTACCGATAGTTTATTCATGAATACTTTTCATTTGTTATATTCTTACTGTAACCCTGTCCTTCCGAAATTAAATTATTCGTATAATATGTCCCTCTCGATTTTCGTGCCATAAGATTTGTAATAAATAGGTTAGTAAATACAGTAATTATTGTTTAGATGTGTTGTTAATACGTTTCATATCGCCTGTACCAAGCACTTTTATTAGTTCTAATGGGCAAATGATCAGCACAGTTTTAATTTCTGCGTGTTCTCATAAGCATTTATAGCTACAACGTAGAAATTTTGTCGATTTTCATGCTTAATGCAATTGATCTTGAGAATTTACTATACTGAGTAATTAATATTAATTTAGTAAATTATAACAAGGATAGGCTATAAAACTGTATAGAAAGAGAGAACTGTGCTGGATTCCTTGTACTGTTACTAGCTTATGTTAAATATGCATGTGTAATGTTCAAATTTTTATTTTTGCGCATTTTGATAGCTGTAAGGTTAATTACTGTATAATTTTATATATATAAAGCCAGAAATTTTAACATTTCCTGTGTAGATTATTTTAAAAAAAAGTAATCGATGTTGACATAGAGTTACTTCCGATAGAACATCTGAATAAAATTGATTTCTTTTTAACAGCCATGTTCTTTTAAAGAGAGGGGGGGGAAGTATTTTTCTTTTC